CGGGAGCGGCCACTGCACTCCAGTCTGGGCGACAGAATGAGACTTCAACTCAAAAAAAAAAGAAATAATGAATTAGTTTTAAAAAGACATAGATGAGGATAAAAAAAGAAGATAAAAGAAAGAAAGTGCAGCTTGGGAAGTTGCCTCCAGCTGGGTTTTAGCAGCTGGCTCTAGGGAACTAGGCCTCAGGAAGAAAGAGCAGTGGTCATGTGGCCTATTAGTATCCAAGCCTGAAGGATCTTTCGACTTTAGGGGTCACATTTTTCCTCTCCTTCCCAACTCTCTATATCTCTTCCTCCTCTTTTTCTTCCTTCTCTCCTCTTTTTCATAATAGATCATAAATTCCTATTGTAGATATTGTAAATGTTCATTGAACATCATCGCCAAAAGTAGGCGTTTCATGATCTGAACTTTTAAACCTAATGAGTTTAAATTTTTATATCTATTTCTTCCAAACACATTCAACTCAAAATGTTTATTCCTCATTTGTGTATCAATGAACGCTGATGTTGTTAATATTCAATATTCATGAATAATGATGTCACATATGATTGTATAATATATAATTAATTATTGATTATTAATTAAGTCTCCACATTATGCAGTGGAGTCCCAGATTAGATCACTGCCCAGATAAGTAACTCTATAGCTTCTGCTCTTCCATCTCATCCTTCCAGAGTCCCACCTCCTACTTTTAACGCACTTTTAAGGCACATAGAATTGTTAAGTAAATAACAATTTACTTTTTTTCTAGAAGGATTAAAATCTCCATATAAATTCATGGTGTCCCCTGACTGTGGAAAATTGTGTCTGTCATATGATGCCTGTTACTAACTCATATGCTCTTTATTTCACAGGCATCACGGAAGAAAAGTTTGAAAAAGAATTTAGTTCCACAGATAAATCTGGCTTCTTCCTTCTTCCCAGCCATACAAAAGTAAAGGGAAAAATCAGAAGTGGCCACTGTACATAAAATGGCGAGGTCTGGATGATGCTCACGTCTTTATTTCACAATGAGAAGGGGAATTCAGCATATACTGTCGGTTGTCTTTGTGTCCTCAGGCCATCCTGTTGGGGAAGATTGTGGAGCTCTGGTGACCTCAACTCTGAATAACAAGCAAGGAGCAAGCAGCCGGACATTTAGGCAGTGTTTCTTGCTTACTGTCAGCAAACTGACACATAAGAAAACAAATGAAACCAATAGTACAAGTAGATGAAGTAGATGTAAAAAATATGGTTACCAGTGATTAGCTCTCCACATCCTCCTATTGTTAACCTTAATCCAGAACCTGAATTATTGTCAGAACATGTGCAGTCAGAGGCAAATCACTTGTGTGTCATGCTATGTGGTATACAAAAAGAATTATTACTCAAAAGAAAAATGTACCTGTCAAGCCTCTAATGTTTGTCTTCTTCATTTAGAGAAATGTTATCGGAAGAAAATGTTCAAAATCCCTTAGATAAAGTCAGAAGTTATTTACATTTCATCTAGAAATGACTCCAGATAAATAGAACTTGATGAGTGGATTGCCTGAGCCCACGGGTTCGAGACCTGCCCAGGCAACTTGGCAAGACCTCATCTCTACAATAAATAAAAAATCAGCCAGGCATGGTAGCGTGGGCCTGTAGTTCCAGCTACTTGGAAGACTGAGGCGGAAGGATTGCCGGAGCCCAGCAGGTTGAGGCTGCGGTGGCTGGGAGTGGCCACTGCACTCCAGTCTGGGTGACAGAGTGAGACTCCCACTCAAAAAAAAAAAAAAAAAAAATAGAGCTTGAATGGTTATCTGAACTTTCTGGGGTTCATCTTTTATTAATTTATTAATTGATTTTGGTATTTTGGCCAAATGATCAATTTCACCAATGGCTACTCATGTATAAGATAAAAGTAACTAAATTTTATCAATAATTAATGAGATTTTAAATAAGTCAAAGGCAAAAAGAAAGTATCAGAATTGAAGCCTGAGGAGAGGGGCACAGTGGCTTATGCCTGTATTCCCAGAACTTTGGGAGGCTAAGGCAGAAGGACTGCTTAAGCCCAAGACCAGCCTAGGCAACACAGGGAGACCTCATCTCTACAAAAGTAAAAAAAAAAAAAAAAAATTATCCAGACATGGTGATACGTGACTGTAGTTCCAGTTTCTCAGGCAGCTGAGCCAGGAGGATCACCTGAGCCCAAAAGGTTGAGGCTGCAGTGACCCATGTTCATGCCACTGCCCTCCAACTTGGGTGACAGAGTAAGACCCCAACTCAAAAAAAAAAAGAAAAAAAAAAGGAATTGAAGCCTGAAGAGATTGACTGGGTTGGGCTTCTTCATGAAATGACTCTAAGCTCCAAGTAATAAAATAAAAGTGTTCCCATGTCAAGGGTTAGTCTATGTTCCCCCAAACAACCAGGCACTTGATAAGAAAAAACTGTGGTCCTTTAATTTTTTATTCTGTCTTTCCATTCTGGATTTTATAACTCTTAAATCCCAACATCTTTGGAAAACTAAGAAAATGTTTTGTTCATATATTTACACATTGTATTTACACATTTATTTTTATGTTAATTCCTAGGCATATACAGTACTACTTGTTGTAGCTAATAAGAATGTGATCATTTCTCCTACTGCTTTCTTTTTTTTTCTTTTTTCTTTTTTCCAGTTAGGGTCTCACTTTGTCACCCAGGCTGGAGTATAGTGACCTGATCACAGCTCACCACAGCCTCAACCTCTTGGGCTCAGGCAATTCTTCCCATTTCAGCCTCCTGAGAAGCTAGGATTGGAGGATTATGACACCACACTAGGTTATTTTTTTTTTTTTTTTTTTAAAGAAATGAGAGTCTCGCTGTGTTGACCAAACTGGTCTCAAACTCCTGGGTTCAAGCCTCCACTTGGTCTCCCAAAGTGCTGGGATTATAGGTGTGAGATACTGAGCCCAGTCTCTTTCTTTTTCTTTTAACTTGTTTATTTATACATTTTAATTACACAAGAACTGTAGTTCCAAGAGAAAAATATTGAGATTAAGATTTTTACATTTTTTAAATGTTATGTATAACTTACTCAAATTAAAGAAGAGACCCTAGGAAAACAGAGTATAGTTATAGAGTATCAACCACCTATAAATTCCTAACTAAGCCAGGAAACCATGTTTTGTTTTGTTTTTTAAATCTAAAGGTAGAAACAAAAACTTGCAAGGAGTTTGTGAAAATGATTTTATTTTCCATCTTTCAATCTCAGTTGTAAAAAGTCATTTCATCCCAAGGCATAGATTTCCCCAAAACAGACAGTGTTGACCATGGCCAAGCACTAGGTTTCTTTAGCATGGCATTCAAGTTACTAAATTAGCATCCTTGACCTTTTTTGCTAGAAGAATTCACTCCCAGATATCTTTGAACAGAGATATACAATTTATTGACCCCAAGAGGGGTTTTAAAAAAATATTTTCGCATCTTTGCACATTATACATATGTTAAGTGATTTTATTTTAGTCAATATATGAGGAGGATCCCAAAAGATGGAATGTATTTTTTTTAATGTGTATTTATTCTTACATGTTTAAACTTCAGTCACCTCAGTTTGATGCAACACACCTATTCAGACACTTTTTCCACTGCTCCAAACAGTTTTTGAACTCATCGATTTTGATGCCTTTTCATGCTTCTGCCATTTTTTGTTTCATTTCTTCCACTTCGGCAAAATGTTTCTCTTAGAGGACTTTTTTCATCCAGGAAACAAACAAAAAAGCATCTCAGGTGAAATCAGATGTATGGGGAAGTGGGGCACAGGGGTCATACTGTTTTTGATCAAAAACTTCTAAACACTCAGCGTGGTATGGGCAGATGTGTTGTCATGGTGGAAGAACCAGTCACCTGTTTGCCACAACTCAGGACGTTTCTTCCGCAAATCATGATGCAATCTTCTCAAAACTTCTAGGAAAAAACTTTGATTGACAGTTTGATCTGGAGGAACAAATTCCAAGTGTACTACAAGGGGCCCACCCTCCAAAAGATCATTCTTTTTTTCTGGGTCCCCCCTCATACTGTGAAGAAAAACATTATACATAATTACGTAGTTATAGTTTTTCATGAAACACATAATACATAGTAAAACTTCATCTTTTCCCTCATCTAGCAAATGATAGACTGATTACTTTAAACTGACCCTTTTTAAAAAGGCAGGATTTGTTGACAAATAAATTAAGAATATTCCATTATGTTTGTTTTGGATATTTTACTAAAATATGGGGTAATGACTTCTTCAGGTTATGGAAAGCTAGGTAATTTGAATGATTCACTTTCTCTAAAAACAACCAGAATCCCAGAAAAGATCTGTTTTAGGTACTGTAGAGTAAATGAGATGATAAGACAGGAACACGCCAGATTCCAGAGGAGGACTGAGACTCAGTCAGGTAAGTCAGCCTAAGTTTTGAAGCCAGTTTTTCTCCTGCAAGCATGTTCTAGTTTCAGAAGGGAAGATTAAGAGGCTAAGAAGCCAAGGCAGTAATTAGGGCTAAGACCTCCTCAAAGACATAGGGAAAAGGTTAGAACTGAAGCCTGAAGACTGGCTTATCTGCAACTCTTCAAGAAATGATTCTTAGCTCTGAATAGAAATAAGTGCAAATCTATACACTTCATAGTAAAACTGTTAAAAATTGAACAGAAAGAAAAAAATGATGGAAGCAACAAGAGGACGATAAAGGACAAATTATCTTCATAAGTAACACGATTAGACTGACTTCTGCCAACTTCTCCACAAAAGAGGAATAAGGACCTGAAAACAAATAATATCCTCAAAGTTATGTGATAGAGCAATACTAATAACATGTTAATTGTAGAATCTAGGTGGTAGAATCTAGGTATTCATTATAAAATTATTTCAAATTATCAGAATGTTCTTATTTTTTTCCATAATAAAAAGTAGAGAAGTCTAATATAGAAATCATTGCACTATTTTAGAGGAAAATTAAAGGAGTCTTACATAAATGCAAAGGTACATTTATGTTTATGGCTTGGAAAACTCAATATTATAAAGAAGTTACTTCTTTCTATATATCATCTATTGCTGTGTAATAAACAACCAAAACAATTGAGTAGTTTAAAACGAAAATTATTTTATTTGGTTATAATTCTGTGAGTCAGCAATTTGGGTTGGGCCAACTGGTCATTTCATCTGGTCTTAGCTGGTGTCACTCACACAACTACAGTGCGTAGCTAAATAATCTAAAATGGGCTTTCTCACATATTTTCTGTTGGTGCTGGCTATTGGATGAACTTCTCTTTCTGTGTGGTCTCTCACTCCCAAAGAAGCTAGGCCATAATTCATCAAATGATGACCTCAGAGTTTCAGGAAGGTGAGAACAGAAGCTACAAAATCTCTGGTAGCTGAGAACTCTCACAGTATCCTATCTGCTACATAGTATTAGTCAGATTAAATCACAAAGCAAACCTCAACTCAGGGGAGTGGAGACATAGTCATATTATAAAGGAGCATGCATACAAAGATAGGAGGAATTGGTGGGGGTGGGGGCTGTACCACACTCCCCAAATGTATCTTTTAAGTTCAATGTTATCCTCTCTCAACATTTAAAAAAATTTAACTTGACAAGTTGATTTATATTTTTTAAGAATAAAAAATGGCCAAGAAGCCAGAATATCAGTGAAGGGCAATTAATATGGACTTGCTTGACTATATATCAAGACAACAATATAAAGCTACAGTAATTAATACTGTGTGGTATTGGCACAAGAATAGACAAAACAGACCAATGGAATGGAATAGATAGCACCGAAAGCAACTCTCACGTATCTAGACATTTGACTTAAAGCATAAATAACACTACAACATAGTATAAAAAGGATTAGCATTTCCATAAGTCATACTGAGAGAATTAGCTATCAGCATTGAAAAAATATTTAAAATGTCTCCTACTTCACACCATGCATAGAAATCAGTGTCATGTGATTGTAAGAAGCAAAATACAAATTAATTTTAGAATACAACAAAGAAGTTTTTAATGAGCTCAGGGCAGGAAAATAATTTTTAAACAGTATACAAAAGTCACTGAGTACAAATGAAAAGATAAATAAATAGAACTATATTATAGTACAAAAGTCCTGTTCACCACAGAAACACTATTAAGAAAATAAAAAGGCAAGCTGCAGAATGGCAGATTTTCACTACCTTTAACTAAGAAAGGACTTATATCCAAACGGTCAATAACTCCAACAAATTTAAAAGACAAATCAGTAGAATCAGCAAAGTATGTGAACTGACACTTCACAAAAAAGGATACCCAAATTGCCAATACATGTATGAAAAGTTTCTCTATCTCCTTAGTAATCAGGGAAATGCTAATTAGAACTACAATAGATGAAAGACTTGACCAAAACACAAATACACACATACACAAATA